TCGCGGTCAGACACGCCCAGTAAATTTACTGCGATACAACTTACTAGACTAATCATTGTCCTTCGATTATCCTGTCACGAGATATATCTTTTATGGTGTGTATAATTTTCTAAGGATATCCTCAGACCCAGAGGAAATTCTTATTAATGGAGAAAAAGGTAGTTCCTATACTTCTCGTCTTTTTTCGTTTTATTTTGTTTGACGTAAATTACAGTAGATAACGTTACGTTAATTTTGACAATATATAGTATACACAGGGATCCATAGACCGCTCTATTGGTCCTTATATAGTATATCGATGAAACAAGATATCCTTACACCGTATATATTTATACGTTATCCTTTACAGAACAAATTCCCAGGAGGAATGAGATGCAGTCTCTATCTGGTTTAATAATACACGTGGGAGGCATCTGCGAAAATCTATTTTGATTTGGTCCAGCCGAGTCTTCCGAATGGCTAAAGGATCGCAAAAGGGCTAAAGGAGAGAAAAAGGTCGCCAATTCGCTGACAAAGCCAACATGGATTCACCAGTACCGGTACTAAACACTTATGGATACTTACCTAGAAAATTTCCTAAGGGCACTCAGCAAACCATAGAAAGATCCAGCGTATATCCCTCATCAAGGTACGTCATAGTATTCACCTAGAGTATTGTCCCTGTAAGGATTTAAAGGATGGAGGACTTCAGGCAATTTTCAATTTTCCAATCCTTTACGTATATAATAGCTGCTCTACTTTACCAACATTTTCAAAGTCCATTATCAAACTGTATTCGATATATCCTTATTAAACCAAGCCTGTAGGAAAATAATTTAAATAGAATTCCCACGCTGTCAGAAATTATTTGACAGGTTGACTTGTCAGTGGACAATGCCACGTGTGTATAAACCTATAAAAATTCATTTAATTGGACCTACAAGGATATGACAGAAGAGGAGCCGCCCTTTTTTTGTTATACAGACTCAAAAAGAACGTTATAGAGCCTTCTGATTTATGATAATACAGATATGTTTACAAGATACGGTTCTCCCATTAGATTCGAACGAGGAAACCCGTTGACTAGATCTATGATACCTGCATTGTCCATATACCATAAGTAGATGCATATATACTCGATTTGAGATATAAATACGACTACCCCTAGAATTTCATCAGAGTGTATACCCAGGTGCGTGTTATAGATTCACGCTTGGTTACATCATTAGGTATCCCCAACCCCAATGTGATTCATCAAATAACCTAAAACACTATTAACTAATACAAGGTATGATCTATAATTTATTATTCATTAATAACAAGCTAACGAAGTATGAAGATTTTAGTTATTACTTTCTTATGTTTTCTCGAATTTCAAGGAAATAGCTCGCAGTTTCCGAAAAATCTATAAATCCTCTTCGGACCAAGATGATCGTTTCTAATAGGGTTTTTGAAGAATCGTTTACAGGGTTACACCAAGGGTATAGTGAACGCGGTTTTCTATGCAATAGATGCCTACGCGTCCCATATAAAAATCCTTTTGTCTGTAACGTGTGTGTAAACGCAACGAGAGTGTGGAAAACGGATTCGACGTGCCTTGACGGTACGTGAAGGTGTGTGTATATCCATATATACACACGTAATATAAATAGAAAGAGTAAGAGGACGTGGAGGAACGGGGGGGGGAGGGGGGTGGGAGAGGAGAAGGCGCACGCAGAGAAGAGAATATAGTGGCGGGAAGTGAATGGAAGGCACTGAGAGAGAATGTGTTAGCTAGGCGGAAAGGGGTACGAGAGGAACCGATAAGAAAAGTGGAGAGGAGAGAAAGAGAGAATCCAATATAACTGCACACACGTTTATAGGGCTGGTGGGAATATATTGGAGCAGATATTGAAATACTTGTTGGTAGTTTGAGTCGAAGGCGAGAGATGCCTTTCCCGATGCCATCTTGATTGCGCAATCGAGGCATCGTGGTGCAGAATCCAAGGATAATGAATCCTACGGATTATTATCTGTCATCTTAAACGTTAGACCGGTTACATGATACTTATTATATGTATATACTATATAGCATACCTAATTACCTATCAGAATGATTAGAGTATATTGAAAATTATTAGGAAATTAGATTTTTTAAATTTCATGATAATTATCCGAATGCTTGATAAAATCCAGATAAATCATTGGGCTTAGTATTTGGAAGGGTATTTGCTGTGAGGAAATTGGGGTAGGGATACGAAATCCGTATGTGTAGACAGAATATATGGTAGAGATTTAAAGAGAGGATGGATGCAAAAGTGCGACGAGGATGAAAGGTAAAGAGAGCGCGAGAGAGAGGAAAAAGATAGGATACTCCGACAGCGAGGATTTCGTCGAACGCGAACGCGATTCAGTGCAGCGAGTCGAGTCTCAGCTCGAGTCGACAGATAGATAGAGTCAAGATTCAATTAGCTCTAGCTGTCAACCGCATGATACTCGTTGATTCAATACCTAGCCGCGCACTCGCGTGTGTGATCGTAACAGGGCATCCCTCCCTAGAAACGCATTTACTACCCCTGTTCTACGTGTCTACGAGACCCACGTAGATCAAGTCACTCCAGAAGTCTCTATGTATATCCCAATTGAATGTTAAAGTTTTCGAAGCACCAAACATTCTTAAGAAAGATAGTGCTCTTTTTATTTCAAAATATTTCTTATCCTACGTTGTTTCTTACCAGAGAAATAGGTCTTCGTGCTCTCTATCCAGTACATTCCTCTTGAAGGGTGCACGCAAGAGGTCTTTCATGGTGGCATTCGGAACGTAGAATTCACTATCTGAAAGAAAAGTTTACGCTGTTGTCGATGCCTTCTTCTTTTATTTTTTTTAAATTTTTTTTTGAACGGAGGTCCCTTTTCTTTCAGTATACTTTTATAACGGTACCAAAACATCGCGGCAAGCGATCGATGCTCGGATGTAAAACCACGAAGAGGGTGGATCTTGCAGCGAGGGTGGTATGAAAAAGGCAAAAAGTTCGAGGAGCTGAGGATCGAGGGCAAATTCGCATCCTAGGATCGGGGCCCTCTTGAGGCCGCGAGACGCGATCTTTATGAAAGAATATCAAGGAATTCGTGGGCCGGGCAGGTTGGTAGGTGGTTGTAGGTGGGTAGGTAGGTATCACTTATCCAAGGCAGGGCGATGCCAGCCATTTTCAATTTATTTCAAGAGCCTTTTGGTGGCGGAGAAAGGAAGGGTGAAACTCCTGGCAGAGAGATACCTACACGAAACCGGCATCACCACCATTACTATACCACCAACGATTCCAGAAGCTGATATTGAGGTCTCAAAGTTATTTCAATTCAAATATCACCGACAACGTTTCGCCCGGGACTCGAAGCCTCCGTAAGATCGATAGGAAAGACGAGCTTTCTCGAGATTTCAAGAATCCCAACGATACTCCTTATATACACTATTTGAGAACTTTGCTTCGACCCAAACTTAATTATACTTTAGGTAAGTACAATTAATTATATACACTGGCAAGAATCATTTTTTAAACATTTAACACACGCTATATCCATACATCACAGATACATATTATACACGTACCATACGCACCCTTGTATGTATATGCGTATGATTTCAATAACAATAATCATACTCGACCGACTGTATCGACTCGGATAATCAACATTCACAAGCAATACTTAGAAATAATGATAACTTTTTCACTGCAAAATCTTACAAACTATCGAGTGGTTTGATAACAGCCGATAAATGTTATAACGTTATACTTCAATTTCCCGTAAAAATGGGTAAAATATCCTAAGTCAATCATGATACAATACCGCAGGAAATAATTATACAATAATATTAAAACTAAGAAAGATTTTATTGACATCATAAAATGCTAGCAATTTACCAGGGAATGGAAGAACGCAGCAACGTTGCAATTTACTAGCAATCTTTTAAGCAATATGATAAAGTAACCTGTGCTCGTACTGGCTGTCAGGATAGAAGAGGTTATGTTTCGAGCGTTGTGTACAATTGTAACACGACAAATTCTCTGTCGTTTATAAGGTGGATGTATTCAACCGCGCGGAATGCACCAGGTACTCAGGTCGCTGCATTTCGCTGGAGCTTTTTTTTCTCTCGATATATTGTACATTGGCAATATACGTATAGATATTGTTCGGGTTTTGTATGTGTAAAGTTATACGTGGTTGCTCTCGGCTGGTATAGTACATATAGTATCCAAGTAAGTTAAGTAAGTATATACATGTAAGTACGGGTACTCGAGTACATAGGTAGGCGTGTAAAACGCGTTACGTTACGTTAGGAAAACGTCGGGTACCTCGTGTGCAGCTAAATGTTCATACATGAGTACGTGTACATTTTTCAACTGGTTCTCTTTCTCTCGTTGGTTGTCAGTACAGGCGAAGGCACACGCTCGTTCATCCGGGCTCAGAATTATTGAAGCCTCTTTTGCAAATGCGAAAAAATAACGTAGTTAATTAGCAGCAGCCACTTTAGACGGCCCGACCGTGAGAGCATAGTATGCACAGTGTACAGTACACACTGTAATAAGCAGAGAACAACTCGCGGGAAACACACTTGAAACAGCCAGTATTTATTTTACCTTTCCTACTAGTCGTTTCTCTTTTGCTGCTTTTTTATTTTCGTCTACTACGTGTCGGCCATTGCTAGAATTACTTAAAAGGTAAATTTATCAACATTAGATTGGGTTGCGTTGACACTTGATACTGTGTTAGCTAATTGTATATAGAGATAGATACATATATGCATGAAGAGAATTGTATGATAAGAATTCTTCGATAATTCGCGATAAAAATTACCATGAAAATACAGTAATCCTTGGGATGTCTTGTCATAGTAATATTTTTTTTTATTATCATACTAATCTTTCGAGTGTTACAAGTATGTTTTTTAATCGGCTTGATAAAAAGTATTGCAAATAAATTTTTACGAGGAATGGTACAATTTATAGAGATTACGAAGAAACAATTGTAACTATATACAATGGTTATTTACAGATTGACCTCGATCGACGTAAAATTTTACATCGATGTCGGACATTTGAGTTTATTTAAACTTGTAAATTTAACAGTAAAAAAATATGATTAAATTATGTATATCTTAAAATATCTTAAAATTTACTATACGACTTCATAAAATTTACTGTTATCTGGAGAATACTTCACTATGGTTATATTATTATTTCAAATGTAGGTCTAACTAACTTTATGATGTCCTACGATTACAGAGTAATTTCTAGCATAAAATTCTCTCCGTGCACATACTGTGTTACATATTTACTTTCAGATATTAAATTTTGTACTGATATATTTGTACAATTTTTTGTAAAGCTTGCACGAGGCATACTTGGTATCTCCATGGTAAACCTTTAAGAGGACAAAGACTTCTGTTTCTTGTCCATGCAAGCGAATAGCTATAAAACATTCTGATGAAATTTTTCAGAGCTGCCGTAGAGTATTGTTCCTTCAAGTTCTGGCCTTTTTAATCGCGGAAGGGCGAGAGAATAAGTAAAAGAGTCAAAGGGCACCGCAGAACATTTACCTTACCGACAAACATAAAGGGTAAAACGCCTGGGTTTCTATGTATATAGACGATGTACGGGAGCTTGAAAAAGGAAAGAGGAAGGAGGAGAAAGGATTCTTGTTGGATATTCCTGTTTCTCTCTTTTGGTCTCCTCTCTTATAACAATGGCGTCGCAACAAGAAAGGAGAGAAATTGAATTGGCAACATCATTAAACGACCCCTTCTTTTACTATACTATATATCAACCTTCAACTTCATCTTTTTAGATCCACCGCCATCTATTTTTCTCTCTTCTTTTATTTCTCTTGCTCGCAGCTATTCGTTCCTAACTCCTCCATCCAGTTGGATCCAAACTAGAGAGAAGAAAATATACAAGAGCGACGAGGAAGGTAAGAGAAGCCAAGTAGAAAGATTAGAGAGAGAAACAGCCCGCTTTTCACGCCTCGCGGATTCCTAACCGTTTGAAACGCCGGACGGTGGAAATAATACAACTTTGTGTTCCTTATGCGGGATCAAAGGGATCCTTGGGGACGCCCTCGATTTCGATCGCCTCTCTCTCTCTCTCTCTCTCTCTCTCTCTCTCTCTTTCTCTTTAACCATGACTCCTGCAGATTCTGATCTTTAACTTGAAGACTGAAAGGATAAGGAATCGACCCCTTAAACTTTTGCACGGAGACTTTAGTTTGAAAATGTTTCTCTTTTAAGATCTTGTTAGGATTTAGGTAAATATATATATATATATATGTACATATATTAGTTGCTAAGAAATTATATCATTCAAGTATCGTTGGCTTAATAGAATTGTCAGAGGAGTCGTCAGGTTTTACCCAAGTTTTGTCATTTTTCTTCTTGACTGGTACTAGGACTTTCGGTAACGCGTTTTGCCCAATCATCTCCAGGACGAATAACATTGTTTCTGCCACCTGACTAGAGTTGCTGTAGAAATACCGATACTTTGGATCATTCTTAGGATGACGATTATATGCCTCTCTAATGAGATCTCCTTCAGGGCGATAGAACAGTATCCTAGGTACGTATTTTCCGTCTGGCTGAAACTTCTCATCGCGTCCTAACTTCTCCGTACTGTTCTCCACGTTCACCATGATAAATCTAGGAAGAAGAATTTCTGTTAATATACAAGTTTTATTTTTAAATTTCATAACTTACTGTGTACTTAGATCTACCAATCGGATGGATTTTGAAAATTTGGATTTGAGACCTTGACATGCTGGACACCAGTCACGATGGATCAAGAGGAAGATTGGTTTACCAGTTAACTTGGCTTCTTTGAATGCTTCATCGATTTTCCTCCATTTGTAAACCTTGCCGAATCCGTGATCGGCATCGGTTTTATCACCAATCACGTCACTGGAGGCTAACACGCTTCTCACCAGGAGTTCAGTAAGGGACGCGAAATTTGGGGGTCTCAGGTACTTCAAATACCTTCGCATGCCTCTTGGGAAAACGCTGTTGGAAGTCGCGGCTGGGAGTTTGGCAAGCTGAAGGACGCCGCAAGAGGAACGCCATTGAGATTATTCGTAAAAAACAACGAGCGAATTCATGACTGCGCCGTTCGCTTATCCCGAATCGATTGCTTTAGATGCACAGTTTGGTCGAATTCTAGCATGTTGTTAATTTACTATTCCCACGAAATACATCAAAGTAATGATAGAATCGGTCAAATAAACATTTTTCGAATCGATTATAGCGTCGCTACCCATATGTTCTATTTATATACCTTGATTTGAGATACCTTGAAAGCTATTAGTAAAAGGTGTCTAATTTCTGTTTCAGTATACCATTAGACATTGCGTAACATATCGGAATAGTCTTTAAAGAGGTCTAGCGGCAGCATCTCACGTTAACAAATAAAATGGTGACAGTACATTTATTCAATTTAATTTTGTTTATTTCCTCAGTAATCAATGTTCTCTCACAGGATTGTGTAACAGTCGGAAACTATGTGAGCTGCTAATTTATCATTTTAAAAATTAAATAAAAGTATAGCTTTTAGAAGTTCTAATATTTCAGTGTGCCGATGACGACGCCTGTTGCGGAGGATGCTGCAGAAACAGTATTTGTACAAATAGTAAGTGAAAAGTATTAAAAATAAATATAAGAATATAATATTATCTTCAATTCTTAATAGCATACGAAAATTGCAACATAAACGAGGATCTCTGCCTTGAAGACTATTGTCCTCCTGGTTTGGAATGTTATATCTACAAACCCGATTGCATGGGCTGTGACCTGACCTCGGATTGTAGAACACCTCAGGATAATAAATCATTAAAATGACACATTGAATAATATGGTACCTTCGTTTAATAAATTCTTCCACTATTCGAATATGAAATATCTATTTTTTAAGAAATTCAAAATTGCCTGAAAGATTTTTACAATGAAATCCAATCCTGTAGTCTTACAGAAGAGAAGCGCTTGACTGCTTGGAAATTTTCACGGGTGACCCATCAGTGATTTGGAACGATTTCATGGTGAGTTCCTCGGTGATTTCAAACAGGAGTGCAAGGGTGATTTCGGGAGGGAGTTTTCAACCCCTCGTTTAGTGGGGCCAGAGGGTTGAAATTAATCTGACTACCGACTCGGCGGAAAATCGTTTAATGGTGAAGAATGTTTTCTGGTTACTGGTATCAGCAACCTCATTACATACTACGGATTCGACGTCTCTCTCTGTACAAAGAGTTTTGTCCGACTAAAAATAGAAAAGAAATTAATTGATAATTATATAAGATTATAATATGTACCAGCTATGAAAATTTTCTAACTTACGGTATGGATCAAATCGTATTATCTCCAGTTTGTCTGCTAATCTTTCTCGAATCCATACGAATTTATGACCGGTTATTGCACTTTCCATAAGAACCATTATACTTCTACACAAAAAGTATTATGAAAATTGTAAAACATTGTGAAAGATATTATTTCCATTTTTATTATGGATACCCGACGGATACGTTTGTCGAATTTATGTAACTTTTACGTAGTTGCTACGTAATGGCAGAGAATTTATGTACCTAGTACAGGTGTAAATGTTCCAAAAAGGTGTTTATTGCATGTAGACTCGTTCATCGCTGAACAATTTTTCGATGCGCATAATATTTCGGTACAGGATGTTACGACAATAAATTGTATTTGAATGCTTGTGATATTTTACTTGTCGAAAAGCTGATAGGGAGAATAAGGACATCATATAAACTGGTAAGTAACATGTAAATGAAATTCATAAACTGCATGATCTTCGCAGAAATTCTTTCGCAAAGCACAATATGATACACGGATACATTATGCAAGGTTTACATTTCTTCTGATGCCACTTTTGTAAGGATTACTCCAAAACAGAGAGACATCCGACCGAAAAAATGATTACCTGTGGTAAGTTTCGCATTTGACTTTTTAGTTCGAGTATTTTATTTATCGCTTAGGATGAAGAATCACTGTCACAATCTTTCTAATTTCGATTTCTACGATACAAACTCTACGTCATCATCATGCTTTTCAGTTTCTTTCACTGTTAATAATTATTTTTATGGGGCGGTAAGTTACCGACCATACTTGTCTATTACGTTTGGAACAATTTCGTTTCCGCGCTAGCGGTATCTTAACGCATGCGTTTTCTGTTAATAGGAATTCGACAGTGTTTTGCTTATAATATATGGAAAAGCAATTGATTTTAGTGAGAAGATAATAAAAAACATACTTTAACTAATTTAGTTTAGTAAGTGAATATTTCACATATGGATAATTTTAATAATTTTGATTTAAATATAGAAGAGGAGAACTAACCTCAAATTTAACTTTGTACTTAAATTTTACAGTATAATAGTAATATAAATTAGTAACTTACTTGCTTTTGGCTTTCTTCATTAAGATGTTTGTTAGAAACATGCTTTTCTTCTTTCTGTAATTATGTTTGCAGTAATACGAGCAAATAATGTATTAGAATACACCTTAGACTTTACTCTAGCATCGAGTACTAAAAATATTTAAGCTCTGTTGGTACAGTGAATTTTGTACCGTACATGTTTACCTACGGAGATTTCATCAATGACAATACAGTGGGTGTTTTTCTTTTACCGCCACACTTCGTCTCACTTGTGTTTCATTTACTGTTTTGCAAGATGCTTTTGATCTGATTTATAACGTTTCAGCTCGATGTTCTCTGCCCATTAGTACTCATGGTTTGCTATTTTTAATGTGCAAGATCTATAAACCGTACATGCAACACCAGTGTGTGACGTATGCCGAAGTGTGTCGGTAAAAGAAAAACATTTACTGCGAAATCAAACTGTTTTATCTAGAAAGTGGCTTATATTCTTATTTCAATGAAATAAAAAATGTTGTTTAACCTCTCTGACTATTGCAAGAATCTTATATTCAATACATTGTGATAACTATACTCAAATGTACTATTATTTCACTATAGTATATTGTGTATAAATATTATTGTTCGGGACAGTTTGTATAAGCTGAGGAATATCTCAGAACTCGTTCAGATTAACCGGCACATGATTGTAATCTTGTGAAAATGGTTAAGTCGTGGAGCTATTTAATTTTTCTGACATGGACATCCTATCTGATGATTGTCAGCTTATTACTCTTCACTAGAGGATTTCTTCTCAATCGCGTAAGCAGGACTGAACGTGGTGAGTGTATACACTGTGAAAATTCTGGTGACTGCGATTTAAAGCGTGTCCTAGAGACTTCAGCAATTGGGGTTAATATATGTCCAAAGCCTCGAGCCAGAGTGATACTTCTTGTTGTCGATGCCCTTAAATATGAATTTGTGAATTGGCAAGATGATGCCAATGCAGAGTCATCGTATTACAAGAACAAGATGCCTATTGTTAACGAGCTGATTCAGAAATATCCATTGCATACTCGGTTGTATAAATTCATAGCTGATCCTCCGACAACAACCATGCAACGTCTAAAAGGTCTTATGACTGGAACATTACCCACATTTGTGGATATCAGTTCAAACTTTGCAACTGAAGATATAAATGAAGATAATTTAATCGATCAGAATGTTAAAGGTGGAATTGTCTTTATGGGGGATGATACATGGACTAGTCTGTTTCCTGGAAGGTTCTTAAGACAATATCCAGCACCTTCATTTAATGTTTGGGATCTAGACACTGTAGATAATCAGGTACGCAGAACAATTTTTTCTGAGATGAAGAAAAAAGACTGGTCATTGCTTGTCGCTCATGTTCTTGGTATTGATCATTGTGGCCATAAACATGGACCAAATCATCCAGAAATGACCAGGAAATTGAATGACACAAATTATTTAATAAAAGAAATAGTCAAATCTCTTGACGAGGGAATGATGCTTTTTGTTATTGGTGATCATGGAATGACAGACACTGGAGATCATGGTGGAGACAGTATAGATGAAACTGATGCAGCCATGTTCATATATTCAACTCTACCTCTAATAGATACATCAACTGTGATAGGTTCAAAGGTGGCTAACCATGTAGACTTTGTTCCAACCATAGCAACAATACTGGGTACTCCAATGCCCTTTTCTAACATAGGGACTATCATTTTGGATGCATTACCCATGCTGGGAGATAAGAATGAATCTCTTGATCAATTCTTCTATGCTGTACAGTCCTTATGGAGCAATGTAGCACAGACCAAAAAGTACATTGATGCTTATTCGATGGACACTTTTCTTTTCTCTGATGATAAATTACAGATGCTCGAAAGATCTTATAATCACCTTTCTAAGCAGGTGAAACATAGTAAAAACCTGAAAGAATTTAAAGACTTTATTAATGATGCTAAGGCATACTTAGCACTCATACGAAATATGTGTGCTGAAATTTGGGTTCAGTTTGACTCAAGTCTTATGTTCAAGGGACTACTTTTGATGTTCGGAACCCTATTTTTCTCCTACATAATCCTGGACTGCATACAAAGAGATCGAATAACCAAGATATTCGAGTCCTGGTTCCTAACGTGTTCTGTCCTGACAAATCTTTGTGCGATAATAGTAGTTTGGCTTTTATATTGGCTACAAATTATTGAGGAATTTCAGCATATGACATTTTTTGCTACTGGAATTGTATCATTGTTGTTACTTTTGATAGTTGTTATCCAAAATTGGGACATCATTGCTATAAACTGGTACAATAGTATTAAAAAGCAGTGGTCCAGCTATCAGGCCAGAATAATACTCTTTATGACAATATGTGGACTCTTTTCTAATAGTTATATTGTTGAAGAAGACAGAGTATTATCTTTTCTTTCAATAACTTTAGTCTGGTTAGTGTTATACAATATAAAAGTGGATAGCCATGTAGACAACTCGGACAGAAAAGCAAGAATTATCTTCAAACCTACATCAAAACCTTCATTCAGGATAATTCTAATAATCTTAGGCTTGATAACAGCCCTGGCGATAAGATGTTCCAGTTATTTCTGGAGGTGTCGAGAAGAACATAATGGAAGGTCTTGCTCTAGCATTATATTAGGCAAAGCTAACTCTATAGTATCTAGTAAAATAGAACAAGCCTTCCTTACTACAGCTCTAATCATCCTAGCTCTCTTTATAACAGTGGTTAGATATTGGTTACGCAGTTGTGGAAATCTCTCTGGTTTCTCGCCAAGTGTCGTCGTAGCTCGTTATTGTCCTGGTGTAACAGTAGTGTGTATTGGATGCTTCTGGGTCCTTCAGAGGTTACCAAAAGATGCTAAAACGAAACTAGCCTTATCGTGGCAAGAAAATGCCTTGCCAGGAGTTGCCTACTTCATGATTTTATTCGGAATATTCATTTTATTCTACCGTCCACTGGGAGTTTTTATACTTCCAAGAAGAGGAGAATCCATCAACATCTATCATGGTGAGGATATCATACCAAGACTCTTTGAAAGACTGAAGGGACTTATTTATAAACGAAAACTTGAAGATGAAAATATTCCAATTGTGTATGGATTGGGAACAGTGTATAGTGCAACATTTATTTCATTAAGTGTCTTTTTAACGTTACTCTATGCTTTGCTTTTGGGGGATGTACTTGCTCCTAGTACAGTAGTGATGTATATAACTTGTGCATGTGTCCTGACTATTATTTCAGTGGAAAGATATCGGAATGCCAATAGCATTTGTAAGTATTACTATCAACATTTATTAAATAATATACCCTGCTGTTGATAGACATAGATCATATTCTTTTGATTCCTTCACTCTCTGACTGCAGCAAGTAATAAATCATCGATTGGAAGGCCTGAAATACTTATACATGAAATTTCATTTTTTTCATGAATGCCGGTAGCTGAACTGTTCGACGTACCAAACACAGCAATTCTCTGTTGGTTCCTCATGGCGGAGTATTTTTTTTATGGAACCGGACATCAGCCGACTTTTTTAACTATTCATTGGGATGCTGCCTTCATTGGAACAGGTGGTCATTATTCTGGGAATCTAGTCCCAGCCACTCTTATAGGTAAGTTTCACATAAAATGATTGAAGACTTTTTTTTCTTATTATTAGAATCATAAGTTTGTTTTATTATTTTTTTTAGGAATAAATACATTTGGTTCTCATATTATATTGGGGGCTACCTTGCCACTGTTAGTTGTAGCACCTTTTACGATTTACTTAATGCTCCCAAATTTGGTGAAAATGAAATTCCGTCCAGAAGAAGATTTAAAGAGAGGCGAACTTCTGTTATATGAACGTCAAGCTATTTTTCATGGTGCAGTTTTTACTGTTCTTGGAAAGTATGTATTCTTCCATGGGATTCGAGTGAGTGTCTTTATATACTTTCGACTTTTTTTTTTACTAAAAGAATTCAATATATTTTGTTTCTATTATTACAGATCTTCGGCTGTATGCTTGCGGTAACTATTCAATGCCGACATCTAATGGTCTGGAAAATCTTTGCTCCAAAGTTAATATTTGAAGGAATCAGTTTCATGGTGACAGTAGGTAGTGTATTAGCTTCTCTTCTCATGGTGATTAGAATAGATCGTCAAGTAGACCACTTAGTAACACAAATAACGAAATCTAGGTGATAGTAATTAATATTTTATATGAGTTACGTCGCTCTATATTAAATCAATAAGAAGTATCTTCCTTAGTGTAGAATAGAAATCGTTTACAAGAACCAAAGAAACTTTTAAGTAAATCAGGATGTAACATTGCATTCACTGCATGGATCCTCTTATAATAATCGCAATGAAATCTAATCGCCAAAATTTGCAATAATATTGATGCATCGCTACCAGTATTGAATAATTTTATATAATACTCAAAAAATGTTCAAAAGAGTTCAAAAAGCTAAAAAAAATTCAAAAGTGGATGAATATTTTCATTTAAACGTTTTGCCACGTGTTTACTTTAGCGTTCAATGATTTTATACTTTTAGTCATAACTCCTGATGTTACACAGCACACTAACGCTATCCTGCGTGCAATGCATTGCTGATTCTAGTAAAACTAAGCAACGCACTTGATGCAGGATTGCGCCTGTCTGCTCTATTTTTATCTATTATGTAGAATTCGTTGAGGTGATTTAAAATAGGAATTTTTTTTTTGTGTTACTCATAAATGATTTGGTTATTTTACCTTAGTCAACGGTGATTAGATTTGCCAGTGTGATCTTCATTGCAGAAGCACTTTATTTGAGGACACAATTCATTTTACACGTTACCAAGTGATTCTGACGTAAAAAATAGTTTTCATCTTATATATTTTTTTGCTTTTTATGATGACTAGAGTATGCTACGATTAAATATCTCGCTCACAGCTTCGACTCAGTGATGATCGTGATGATGTCTCCGCCCTTGGGACTCCTTCCTCAGGAAGTTCTGCCAGTTGACCCATTTCTCAAAATCTCCATAATCCTTTGTATCCTAGGACAGAGAAATGTCCTAATTTTTTACAAGCATTTAATATTGTTTTTTTTTTTTAGGGATAAGATTTCCCTGAATCTGAGATTATGTAGTAGGCATTTTAATCTGGAATCAAGTGTTACGTTAATAGTATTTTGTTGTATATGTTTGATATTGTTTTTAAAAAACGATTATATAGAGACTATATTATATAGCATTTAAATATATGTAAAATGTACAAGATGTAAGACACTTACCAACATCTTAATTCCTCCACCCTGATGTCCTGGAACCGAACCTCCTCCTGCTTGTACTGATTCGACAGTTCCTGGAGGGAGACTTTGATATCCTTGATGCATCTGCATCTTAATGGCTCTAGTATATTGATCTCTATTATGGTGATCCTCTTCGTAAACGTCCGGACTGTCTATGTCATCTGCAGAAACATCTCGTTTAGCAGTAGCAGATGGACTTTGAGGATAGGCGACCCAGAATGAAGTAGGACTCTTCGGCAGCATCCTCATGGTCTTTTTCGGAATTGTAGGATAACCCGTTGTGTTAAAACTGGCTAATTTACTTTTAATTGCATCCAGTAATGTCAAATTGAAATCTGAACTAGTATCTGTTTCCTTTAGAGGATTATTGTATATGGGAATAGCAGTAACATCTGCTTTTTTAGAAACTAATGCTTCTTGAACAGTAGCTGTTATATTTCTTTGTAATTCTGTAAGCATGTCGAAGACATTACTTAGGATGGTCATTCTCTGTTTGTAAGGCAAAGTCCCATCGACTAGTGGTTTTGGAAAGAGTCCAGGTGGGAATGGTTTAAATGGTTTCAATCCTATTGGTAAAGGAGGCGTTGCTGTCTTCTCATATGTGATTAAATCATCCAGGGTGTTTACCATGCTCGCCTTGAGATTACCGAGTTCAGAGAGTATGCTATCAACTATGGAATCCTTGGCTATTGCTATGGCTGCTATGTTATCCAATGATCTAGCCACTTTCGATTTGTCTTCCTCTGATTCGAATGCTGCAGATCTTGCGACGTTTTCCTTTGGATAGACAGAATTAGTGTCCACTGAGGTATTATTCAGTTTCAGGGAGTCAAAGAGTTTGTTTAGGAATTCAATTACCTTTGCATCATATGCACTTGGAAATGGAATAGAGAATGTTGGGTACCAGAAACTTGGTGGAACAATGGTACTCTTTGGTATTGGTATTTCAGTCACTGGTGAAGAAGTACTTGTAGCTAATGTGTTGAATAGCACATCCAGGAAAGCTGACTTTTTTGCTGCAAATATTGAAGGATCCACTACTGGTCCAAACATACCAGGCAAGTATTCTTTAGGTATTGTCCCAGCAGAAGATGGATTGAACATCTTTTCCAAGATTTTCTGGTCTGTCGGTTCTGGTTCTTCTGCAATGGGTCCTAAACCAGGGTATGGTGGTGGTGGTGGTGGTGGTCCAACATCTTTTGTGTCAGTTTTACTCTCAGAATTAGATCGATATTTATTGAGCATTGTGCTTGTATCATCAATGCTTCTCTTTCTACGGGACTCCTCGACACTACCAAAAGAACTTGGCCCAAACTTAGACGTTTCACCAAATGGGAATTTGGGTCCAACTGGACCAAACATTCCTCTTTTATAAAAACCTAAACCAGTATAAGGTACATTCTTATTAGTAATAATATTTTCATCTTTGTCCATGACATTCTGTAGATCAGCTGTCTCATCATCTTTTCCAGAATACGTGGAGTATAGTGAAGAACCTGCAGTGCCATAACCTGGATAATCCACGGGACCCATACCACCAAAAATATTACTTAACAAATCAGTTTTCTTTGATATCATTGTGCGCGGGTCAACAAGCTTTGGAAAAAATGATGGTTTTGGCATATATGGTACTGTTATAGTTCCCATTCCTGGGATACCTGGAGGTCCCAGAGATCTTGAATAAACTGCAAGACATTATTGCAGGTAAAGTCTACTATTTTAGTATAAACTAATACAAAATTTTCACAATAGAAATGAAATTTATTTTACCTGGTTTACTGCTAGCAAAACTTGTCCATGATGTTCCTGGTGGTAATTTTCCATGAGCTCCTGCAGCAAAAGCCAAGAAGACAACAAACAGTGATCGAACCATCTTTGCACTATATGATCAGAGTCGTGTCCGTCGGGGTTTTTATACTAACCGGTAGAAATTAATCCTTACAAAATCTTGATTATTATCAGGGATCAGGTTGTTCTAGCGGTGGCAACGGCAAACTCATTAAAATAATCCATTCTTCATTTAGAACGTCTACACCTGGGGATTATTTGGAGCCATTGAAATACGTTAATGTACATCAATGCAATTTCCTTCTTAAGGTTTGATACCGTGTACAGTTCATATATTTTTATATTGCATATTGTAACAGTAATAATAGCCTTGTTCGCGTTACTTACACTTTTTGCAAAAAGTGTAGGTATACAGAGACAATCCTGATATTTAAAATCTTAAGAATAGTAGATATAATATGAATCTTTTCAATAGTAAAATTCTTTATGTTCTCCTTGAGAATTTTTTGTATTATTCTGTAACCACCGAGTGTATAGTATTCGTACTGATATTCGTCATTATTACAGATATTCATGTGTTATTATTAACTGTCAAATGCAATTCTTTTGTTTATCTACAATGCACTCCCGCTTGTCTCCATTGTTTTATAGTGCATTGTTTGTCTCCCGTGCTTTTCAAGCTTCCGAGAAATATTTTAATACTCTATAAAATATTCATTAGTTACCAGCAGAATAATTCTGTTAGTAAAACTATTCTAAGGTGAAAGCCTTCAAAAGAAAATGACCACGTCGGCTAATAGTGAGTAAAAATGGTAGATTCTTTAAAATAATAAGAACAGTAGTAGCCACCATGTTGTCTGAAGACCTTCCACTGTAATAAAAAGTAATTAGGTTTTTATCTTCTAACTTACAAATGTATTTACAGATTTATCGGGCGATGTTATAGACGCTATTCGACCTGATCTTGAGGCATTTGCGTCGTTGTGGTCTGCTCTGAGAAAAAATTATAAAGGAACCAATATCACTAGGACTGTAGCACGTCTTTTGCATATGTATCAGCCTGAGGATGGTGTTCTTGCTTATGAGCGTCTTCTACGAACATTATATGTACTGCTAGAAGATTTTGATGGAGATGGTTTACAACTTCTTGTATCCATGGTACCACCTCCAAAGGGTGTTAAAGAAGATACTATAAAGGAGGTCTTTCACAGGGCAACAGGATTTGTCAGAATGGATGCACCATTATTCCACAGAAAGTATGCATATTTTTATATTTGTATATCTTACAAAATAATTAAGTACATTTTATATCAGTAGTAATAATTCTATTGCAATGGATGGTTCCAAAGTATCTAATGGAAGTACAGTTCTACCTGGAGAATCTGCTTCTTGTATACCACGATCTAATTCTATGTATACAAACCCTAAGAATGTTCAAACTGTAAAAACTGAAAGCTATACCAGCAATCAAAAGTCACCTCAGGTAAACAACAAATGAATTTTTATCGTTGCTATGTATTAAAATTCCACAGCATTTGATGTCAATGTACAGAAAGTTAACACATTATATTATCAGGTTATACATACCTTATTAATTAATCTTTTTCTAGATGATACCTCAAGAGGCTGACGTATTTCGTGGTTTTCCACCAAATGAAATCACCAACACGCAAAGTCATATACAAAATCTAAACAATTTCTATAGGCCAAGCAATTATGATCATCCTCCTCATCAGACCTATGTTAACTTCAGTCAAGTTGTTGGTCAAAATTGTGGAGATGCCAAACAACTTCCAACTAATACTGTTCTCGCGCCTGGATATAGGTTAAAGTGGCTTCAGGCTCCTTATTTATTACAAAAGAGTCCTTATCCACCTTGTCGAGATGTTTACCTGAAAACTATAGATAATAAATATCTGAGACTTCCACTTAGCAAGATGAATGACATTTGTCGACCAGACGTTCTTTACTCTTCTCAGATACCTTACTACGTACTTAAAAATTATCTAATACTATGGCTCACGTTAATAATCTTTAATACGTTACTAATAATTAATTTATTGATAATTAGGAATGCTTGCATACCAAGAGTAATACAATGACCAGTGGCTTGCTGGAAAAGGTGCAGATACCACAGGACAACGAAAATTATTCTAAAGAAACATCTACTAAGAGAGATGAAACAGTGGAAAGTCAAAAGCATGATAATATGCAAAATGCAGTGTTTAGCAGAATATATAATGATATGGATACAATTAAGAAGCATGAAGGTTCCTACAAAATCAATTATGATACTGATACCTGCTGCACTGCTAATCAGTTACTAAATGCAAATGTTGGTCAAGAGAATAAGGATATTAAAATAAGAATTCAAAATAATGGTACAGAATTAGAAAATGTGATGAAGCCTTTAAAACAGTTTGAAGAGGAAGTTAGAAGAAGACAGAGAGCTATTCAAGAGGACATATTTAAAATGGATGTTGTAAGATGTAACGAAAGTAACCAGTCAATTGAAAGTCAAGAGGTATGAAATATTGAAATATGATGAACGTTTTCAATATTAAACGAATTTTAATAATACAGGCACTTCGGTTGGATGACTTAACAGTGAATGTAAATCTAAAACAGAGCGTTTGCAACTTTTTCAAGAGAGTAATAGATGGCGCAACTGTCAGTAAGCAACATGATTACGTATTATTTTATTTAAATATACTAATTCGCGTATAAGAGCAATTTTTTATTATTCTTAGAAACTCGAAATCTTCCATGCACAAGACCCTTGAGTGAAATTCCACAGCCAATAACTTTAAATCCGGATTTATCAAATATAACTTCTCAATGGCCATATACAGCACCACAATTCTGTGCTATTCAGGACACAAATATCAGCCTGGAAAACAAGCATTATGAAGTTTTAGCAAACTCTTCTTTAAGAAGTGATCAGAATTTTCCTATTCGAGACTCTACGAGTATAAAGGAGGAGAATATTCGTAAAGTGACTCGACGACGAAAGGCTGATTCTACGGGCAAGTCAAAATCTCAGAAGATAACGCAGAGAATACTAAATCCTTTGAAGACCGTAGAAACTGGTTCGAATATTTCAGAACCAAATATAAATTCCAATTTGGATCCCGTGTATCCAAATTATCCTACATCAGATCAAGGAGTACTCCTTCAGCAAGCCAGTACATTAACAGAAATGGCGGCTTATAAAAAACAGTACTACGATGCTTTGCTCCGAATACAAAGAGCAAAAGGTATGTATAACATTTTCGGTGCGCGAGAAAGTAATTGATAGAAAATTTATTCTCACTGTAGCAGCTGCAGCTAATTCTTTAGCTCTGTCTTCAGTAGGCAGTTCAACTGGTTACGATCCTTACTACTTTAGCTATTTGAATCTACAACAGCAGATGCTCCAACAACAACAACAACATCAACAACAACATCAACATTTGTTACTAGGACCACGTTTTACAGCTCAGAGATTAGTACGACCTGCTCATATGAATATGCACGCTACTGCTACTCCCTGGATTAGGCCCCCAGATTGGACTTATCCATTTGGACAGTATGACTTCACTAGACACGTAAATAAAAATCTATTATATTAATATTATTTCAGTGTGTTCTGGGATAAATTACTAACTACATTTTTTTTAGACACACCCACCACACTTCTCCCAGTCAAATAACATAAGGTCAGTGTCTATTTGTACGAGATAATTTATACTAAAAATTCAATATTTAATTATATTCCTTATTTTTGGATTTAGATTCATGATGCCAAATTCTACTACAATGAACGCGCAGAAATATATGGAAGATCTACAAACGCAATCAAGACCAGGTGTAAAACGTAGAAAATTAGAAGAAATCGTTGGAAAATTAAAAGAAACAGATAATAGTGGTGTAAGTATCCAAAGGCGATTGTATTAATATATAACAGAAGAGGGAAAAGAGAAAAGATATTTAATGATTCGACTATATTTCGCAGGATCATATGACATTTTTCCAATGTCTCATATGAGGATTACAATGTCATACTTAATTGGAATCGGCTGTGACGGTATTACATAACGCATTATAACTAACGATTCTTAATGTACACGTTTTGTTACAGTAACATTTGAGAAACTCCTGCTCTACGAATAGTACTTGTTCCTGATGACGTAACTTTCAGAGAAAAAAATGGATCCATCCACATTATCTCGAATACTGTACAGAGAGTAAATCCCAATTGCCTCACACAATATATAACAATCCTCCTTATTCTCTCTGTTTATCCCTAGTGATATACAAAAAGATGGTATACAAGAATAAACGATATCGCTAAACTTAAGTTTTATTACATAGTCGTCGATCGGTATTGTCATACTGAAACGAGGATCGGACCTTGACATGTTTACTTAGGAAACATTCTTTTCTTGTACCAGTCATAAAGGAGGTCCGATTTCTTTTCATTTTAAACCATTCCATGCTGAGACTATCCAGATAACTGGAATACAGTATCACGAGTATAGGGCTGAACTCTCAAATCTTCTCATGACTGTATTTATGCAATCATATCACCGAATCGATAAGAGCCGATTGCTATCATTAAATGAAAGGTTATGTTTTAATTAAAATTTCGATTCACTTATATTGTTCTTTCGTTTAATTTATGAGCTAGTTAAAGGCATATGCCTTATAGGCAATTACGAGAAAAGAAAGCTAAGATTTTTTAAAAAGAGTAAATAAAAAACGCGCCGCTGGCTTGGATTGTCGTATTTCAGTGTTACTTTAGCTCTAAGTGATCAGTCACAAAAGTTAAATGATAACAAATAAAATGGATAAATGGTAGTTCTGCTACATTATTAATAACGTATGATTATTGCTTGATTTATTTGTTCGGTTTTTTTTTTACGCGAAGACCTAAACGGGTAGTTCCATATTTCCTTTTTTTTTTCTAAACGTATTTATATGGAAAAATGCGTTTTCTTGTGCGTAGAAATAGAGAACAAATTCTATCAATCGTAACAGTGCAAATCTCTATGTGAAGCAAAGATATTCGAGGCGATTATTCCCTTCTTATCATCTCACTTATTCTTATTCCTCATTCTTAATTCATTATTCACTACCCGTCATTAGTATGTATAGTATTTAAACCTCTTGGCAGGATTTTCATTCTGCCTATCTCTATATTCCAATATGGACTCCAATTTATTATCTTCATTCTCTTTCGAGGAATATCACACGAGAACGCTTATCGTTTTGCGATTCACTCTTTATTTTCTTCAACGCTCATGAGATAATCTTACTATATCCAGGTTAATTATGTCTCTGATTAAATGTACGTTTAGCAAGTGCGTACAGTCATATTGTACGTTCCAGTTATGATATGACGTGCCTACGCGCCAGAATACGAATCTTTAGTATTAGAACAGGAATTTTGTGAGATAAAGCATCCTCGTGGATTCCTGTATCCATGATGAAAAGAGCCCACAAGTTCCACGTGGCTCAAGGAAATAGCACTCATTTGAGCGCACGTATAATTCTGGCAGTGTCCCATGAGGTTTTTTTTTTAAATAAATTAATGTTTTTAATGTGGTGCGCACTTAGTCGTATTATAAATCCAAATATCCGCATAGAATGAATCCTTATCGAAGATAGCGAAATTGTCTCTTTTCTTTATTAAGATGTTATTATCACTATACGTTAAAATTCTAAATGAACACGCACGTTTTTATTTTTTATTTTAAATTATCTTTCTTAATCATCTTATTCTAATTGATTAGACAATGACGCTACGCGCTCATGGAACGGACACGTCAAAGTATTTCTAATATCAGTATAAAAAACGACGAGGGAATGACTAATTCGCGATGAGAAGAAATGGCAATTAGTTTCTTTTACATTCTTTATCGGTGAAAAAACTTTTGTGGTTGTGTAGAATTATAAATGAAATTAATAGTGGTGTCTAATAATAAAACGATAAATTCATAATGAGGATTAGAGATCATTATATTAGGAGGAAAGTGAGCGCTCGATTAAACTGCTGCAAAATGAAAATTAAATGTCTGTGGTGTGCAAGGTGGGACAAATGTTGTACTTCTAAGACGATATGTATGTACTAAAAAAATACTTTGTTCTTTAACCTGACGTTACGAAGAAGATTTGGTTACGCAATGGCGCCTGACTAGAGTTGTGACTTGCGGTTTTTTTTTGTTATTTAAATAAAAAAGGGTCTTGTATGGCTTCTTGTCGTTTCTTCTTTTTGTTTAATTCTTCAATTGGTTTTTATCTCTTTTACCCAATGTATATCGTGTTACTTTCCCATTTATACGTACTTCCGGACCTACGATGATGGTCAACAACAATGAGTATTTGAGTTACTCATGCAAAATTGCACACATCTTGAAAAAACTGGCACACACTCGGAACGGTACAACAAGTTAAACAATCGTTCCGTATTTTTACTAATCATTCACGGAGAGACTTTTATAATATAGGGTTAAGTATATATATATATAGGGTGTTCCGAAACTACCTGGCCCGGTGGGTATGGCGGTGTTCGGGAGGCTTCACTGATCACCAAAATTACCTTCTTTTTGTCCGGAAGGTCATAGTTTTTAAATGGGAGCAGGTCAAAGTTGACCAATCAGAGGGAGGCGTCAAGAGAAACGTAGGCACCTGCGAACTCTGTTTTCTTCCCTAGCTTTTGTTTCTCGGTGGCTTCGGGCAGGATGACGTCAGCCGAAGACATGCCTATTGGAAACAAGAAACAAGCTACCGAGAAACAAAAGCGAGGGAAGAAAACTCAGAGTTCGTAGATGCCTACGTTTCTCTTGACGCCTCGTTCTGATTGGTCAACTTTGACCTGCTCCCATTTAAAAACTATGACCTTCCGGACAAAAAGAAGGTAATTTTGGTGATCAGTGAAGCCTCCCGAACACCGCCATACCCACCGGGCCAGGTAGTTTCGGAACACCCTATATATATATATACTTAACCCTATATTATAAAAGTCTCTCCGTGAATGATTAGTAAAAATACGGAACGATTGTTTAACTTGTTGTACCGTTCCGAGTGTGTGCCAGTTTTTTCAAGATGTGTGCAATTTTGCATGAGTAACTCAAATACTCATTGTTGTTGACCATCATCGTAGGTCCGGAAGTACGTATAAATGGGAAAGTAACACGATATACATTGGGTATATATATATTATGTATATGTCCTCGCACTGTATTTCTGAATACCTGCGAATCTTTCTAAGAGCGCCGCACTCGCATCACATTCTCTGTTCACATAATACATCAGTAAGCATAACGAGTGTCCTTTTACATAGATATTTGGGTGCTGTGCGGATGTAAACGATTGTGCGACGCTACTAGATAATTGCACGGTACTCTTAATATATGTACATACCTGTACAACAATCTAGCTAGCCCGATTCTCGCGAGTACCAACAACTTTTACCAAACGAGTAGAGTTAGGTTATACCAGCATAAAAATACATTAAAAACGACTAGATAAATTTCTTGTTTACCTCGGTGTTTACGAGCTAATGGTCTTATGCTTACAAATTCCATTAAAACTTACGATTTATTATTTTGGTACACGATCGGAATGAAATGACTAATTGCGCTACGCGAATCCATTGGTTTCTTCTTCTTTCGCTCAATCGAGAAGAGCCGCAGAGTTGCGTGGTTACCGCAATCAAATCGTACGGTCCAAGCAACGAAGAATAATATTCGTTTTTTGCATTCGGCAGCGAAATGTACAAGGCGCAACAATTTTATACAAGAGTTCTGAGTGCTTGGATACGACGATTTTTAACAGCGATTACGAGCTGTAACCCGCAATCTCGTTGTTCCTGCCCTTTTGGAGCAATTATCTGGTTTATCACGCGCATTCTCTGATAGCTTTTTACAAAGAAACTCGACTTGGTGCGATCAAGGGAATGTGTACGGATCGATGGCCTTACTTGAACATGGCTGTACATCGTCCGGAGGTGGATGCCACTGATTATCCCACATGGCCGCCTGGACGAGGGTTACGTCGATGCTTTCGCGTTTGTTATACGAAGTACCCTCGACCTCCCAGTGCATAGCCAAACCCGTTGCCTCCATGTGCCTAGTATCGCCAACGGTCCAGTAATTTTCCAACTCACTCTTCCTAGCAAGCTGTCCAGTCTTAGCTGTATCTTGCTTCGAGCTGTTACCTCCGTGACCGGCGCACGTACGAAGCTGACTCCTATCCATTGTTTGTAAAGGAAGTTTTCGAGGTACTCGACGTGCTTTTGTTGTGTTTTCTGCGCTGATGGAGCTTCCTGCTTTCGCAGAGAGATTCCCATCCGTACCGAGACTGTTTCCCCCATCTTTTCGTTTTCGTCGCCTTTTTCTGTCTGTGTCCAGTTCATCCCTCGGAGCATCGTCGACTTCGTCGTTCTCGTGCGAGGGAAGGAAATGTTGCCTCGCTGACGCCCAATGACCTTTTTTGTTTCCTCTTGACTTGTATTTGTCGCAATTGCCGTTTCCGTTCTCTCTGTTACTATTGTTTGTGTTTGTCTCACTATCAGCGTTGCGCTTCTTTGAGTGATTTCTTACAACCCAGGATGGTGGTCTTTTCGGACTTCTTTCTTTTAATGTTACCTAAATCAGAATGAACATGTTGATTTTTCTGAATATCTTGATCAAATGTAGATAGATGGAATACTTACTCCGGATGAAGAGGAATTGTCAACAGGTTTGTAGAGTTGATTAGGAGTGTGTTGGTGGCTTAATTGACCTTTGCAACTTATTTTACTTCGTTTATGGAACCAGGATAGAATGAATGCAAGAAGAGCACAGGATAGTCCCAGTGCTGCCGCAGCTGCTAATTGAGAACGTGTTCGTCTAGGTACCCAGCCACTGCCTGCATATTCCCACACCGAACACACTAACAATGAGCTACTTCCCAGATAGGATATACCTATACCAGTGAATACCCAAGCATTCTGTAATAGATAAGTTATGTCAAAATAAATCCTAATGTGTTGCGATCGAGAATTTGCCGTCTTTTCTGTGTACAGTAAAATCTCCTTATTCACAATTTCATAATTCTTGGATTTCGTGTATTCGCGAATTGCTCAATTCAATCATTGTTCATACTCGTATTGTTAAGTTTCATTATTCACGAGTATAACAATAATAGAAAATACATTTCGATAGTATAAAATACAGTAGAATTCTCGCGCGTGAGCAATTACTGATTTATAATTTTTAATATTTTCGTTCCTATTATTATAAATAAATAAACAGTTTGAGCAGTTTCTTAAATATTAATGTCAATTAACATTTTAACTAAGAATTTCATAATAGTAACAATTTTCCATAAAAATAAAAAGGGTGTCCTATTTTGAAATTTTAAGTTAAGGTGTATCTGTATTTTTCCGGACCGGGCATATTTTATATAGGAAAACTTAGTACTTGAACATTGAATAAATTCTTCATTAGTTTAATGATTTAATAAATTTAGCTAAGAAATAAACAAAATGAAAAAAATTTGTGAACATAGGAATCTCAGCAGGTGCGCTGTCATCGTAGTCCAGGTTAGATTATCTGGAAATACTAGTACATTGCATCCTATTATCTCAGAAAAATAACATATCTGAAAAGTCAATTGAAAAAAATCTTTAATCACTTAAATTTCTGTAAAAACAAAAACTGCATTTGTTGAATTTTGTCTTGACATTAGTTATAATTTTTATAGGAACAAAAACATTGATTTTCATTAAAAAAATGCCCATGATTTCGATTTTTCGAAAATGGTTGCATCTACATCAAATCGACACTGGCATTAAATGTTCTTCTTGAAACCATGCAACTTTTATCTAAAATATTTTTTTCATCAGTCAATAATTTTGGCTGTGCCACTTAAACACCCTGCGCATTCAGACTAGTCACAGACGTCTACCACCTAAATATTTCACTTTATTGTGAACATGGACACTCTTCATAACTCTGGAAAAAATAACTTTGAAGAAAAAAATTCTTTTTGCATTACGCTCTTTGATAGTATTAAATCTGTCTTGAATGTTCTTGCAGAATTTCAAACTAAAGAAGATATTTAGGTGTTCAGTTTAAAGTGAACCACCTTATACACATATACAAATTTCTTTCAATATTTGCGGTTTTCTGTATTTTCAACATTTTTCTGGAACTTAACCCACGCGAATACGAAGACTTTACTGTATTTGATTCTTCAATATATGATACTCACCAGTTTGGCCCAGTTGAAAGGGAAAATATGTATGACATGTGAAATATCAAGGAAAAGAAGTAAAGCAGTGACCAAAAGACAAAAAACAGCTACAAAGATCATCAATCTCAAGCGGCCCACTAGTGGTAGCATAAAGAGGCTGACCTTGGCAGTGCCAGAACTACATAGAGTGGCCAAACACGCTGCTGACGATATCTGCAAAGATATAATTGAAGTAAGATGCATAATATTTAATACGAAAATTAATAAAATACTTACAAGCAGCAAAAGTCTGATAACACCCGTCGCAGTCCTGAGGTGACCCTGTATATCGCAATAAAATACCAAGTGACTCGTCCGAGGCCACGGCGGTGCATTGGAAGAAGAACCGAGTCTGTGATGATCACTGTGACCATAATGGCCATGGTAATTGGCATGTGAGTCCCACGAGTGGACTGTAGAATGAACTCCTGGCGACTCCAGCTCCGAAGACTGGGAGCTGATTTGCCCCCCTGTCCTGCTGCCCGCTGTTGGTGTATCGGGAACTTAAAATACTTGAACGTTCCAGCACCCTTTTGCCTTTCTCTCATAGATAAAGCTTAGTCTTTCTCTAACAGCAAAATTAAATTAAATCCAAACATTTTACATACCGATTTCGAAGTCTTGAATATCTTCAGGTCTTGAATATGCGGTAGGTGGTGGTTCCAAATCGTGAATATCTTTCAGGAGAAGCACCTCTATCTCGTCGGCTGCATATAAATCCGAGACCGAGCGAAGATGATGCCGAGTCTCGCTCATCACTTAGGTACTCTAGCTTGCTCGCTCCTACCGTCCTGCCGTCCGTCCTTTCTTCCTGCCCTTGCGATGAGCACCATTCGTCGGTTATCCGATTCAGTGCCTCGTCCATTCGTTCGTCAGCCTATTCTTCCAGATCCTGAGCTCCATCTCCGGCTTTGCAGGCTATACCGCCCCACTGCCTTTGGCCGCACCTGCAACATTAGAAAAATTACATCGAATAACGACGCATCACTTTCGGTGAGTATAAGGACCCTTTGAATCCGTATCCTTTTACAAAACAGAAGGCTGCAGGTGCACTAGGTAACCCCCGCGTATTCCTTATAGATGACGTTTTTTTCACGTGCGGTAACACCATTATCGTTAGTATTGTACTCTGCACATTTTAACATTTGCTACCTGATTTCTGAGAGTACATTATATACTAAATACTCACCACAGCTCGTATCTACCGTTTAACAACACGTAGATCACATCTTCATGGAATTTATCAGACTAAACTGAAATGCTATCCGACGAGGAATCGCTATTGCGTTTCCTTCCATGACACCTGCGTCCGTCACAACCACGGTCTTACATACAGGCTTGAAACTCTGATGGCGGGGGTGGGTCGCTTAGCGATGCAATTCCGAATAACTGCATAGAGTCGCTGTGATCGGGTAATCGTATCGACGAGGGACGCGGGGGACCGGAGGATCACTCCATCTCTGTCCTATTCGTGGTTTCCACGGTGGCATCGTTTGAATGGGACTATAAGTAGCTACGCAAAACAGTTTATGTCTAGCAAAAAGCGTAAATGCCGATAGACTGACTCGATGTGATGAAATATATATACCTATAATCCCAATAAAATCTTAATTATTCTAAATCCAAACAAATGCGAAAAACATGAATGATTTTGAAACTTTTATTTTCTCCGTTTCAATTTTTCCAAATTCTTATTATTTGTTTTTGCAGGTTTCCAGTTTTTGATGCAGTTAAGTACGGATAGTCATCAACTATTGCTTTTTTCCAATTTTCACAGGTTTGTTTTTCGATCACTATAAAACGTAGGTAGGTAAAATAAAAATCATTTTTTCAATTTTATCTATTTTATTCCAATTTTCGCAGGTATTCGAAACAGATAGTGAGGCTTTGACATATTTACACTACTACTATAGTAATTTTACACTCCTTATTCAATATGTATTCACATGAATATCGCGAGCTTTTGTTAACTGTTTGCACGATTGCAGGTTATGTTTATTTGCGGTACCCGATAACAGCGACGCTGTTTGAAACTAAATTCAACCTCAATAAGCGACCATACCCCCACCACTGAAATTCGAGGAAGTTCCAAGACCTGTATCTAATTGTAAGACCGTTGTCACAACGACCTAGAAACCGCAGATGGGATAGCCGACGCGAAATGTTCATAAATATGCCACCCTTTTCAGTCAATGCATTTTAAATGTTTCTAATAAAGCTTGCTAATCTACTAATATCAATTTCCATATAAATAATGAGAACAGTTTACAAAGAAAAAACATCTGTATATCATCTCTCATTCGTTAAACAATAAGTTTTATATTTAAAATTCATCTTATGAAGATAATGAATAACTATGTAAAATATTTATTACCAGTGTTCGTGTTCTTAATTAATATAATATATATTATTAAAAAATAAATAAAACTTTGCTTTTTAATGTGATTAAGAAGTCCATCAAATTCTGGGATTTAAAATTTTTATTTCCGCAGCAATAGATTTTTGAAGCAGCCGAATTTATATGTTGGATACTTGCTATAGTGGATAAGTGCTAGGTTTACTTGTATATGATATACCTTATTCGCTATCTTCCATGATTCGTATTATCTCTAACCTATTACGGTCACACTAGTACTCCAAACAGAACTGATAGGACAGAAGGATAGGATATCTGTTTGCCTGCTGTCAAACTCGTGAACCTTTCATTAGTTACGGTTACGTTACATTGTTAAAAAGATTTATTTTCAGACAAGCAGAAAATGATGTCGGAAAGAGATTATGCACCGTTGAGTCCAGCTTGTGTTCGTTCATTGAATGATAAATTATATGACAAGCGCAAAGCTGCAGCATTGGAGATAGAAAAGTAAGGTTACGCCTACTTTATAAATTATTAACTAATGAATGCATTTGTATTTGCAATACTTGTTCAAGGATATTTTTTTTAAAGGATGGTTAAAGAGTTTGCATCACACAATAATACTGTGCAAATAAAAAGATTATTAAAAGTTCTCGGACAGGACTTTGCTACATCACAGAACCCTCACACTCGAAAAGGTGGCCTCATAGGATTATCAGCTATAGCTATAGGACTTGGTAAAGATACTGGTCAGTACACTGAGGATCTTATTCACCCTATATTAGCATGCTTTTGTGATGCTGATCTTAGAGTGAGATATTCTGCTTGCGAAAGTCTATACAATATTGTTAAAGTGGCTCGAGGTTCAGTATTGCCACAATTCACTGACATATTCAGTGCGCTAAGTAAATTAGCCTGTGATTCTGATCAAAGCGTCAAAAATGCTACTGAATTACTGGATAGGCTTATGAAGGTAGGAAATATAATAGTTATAGACATTTTTATTAATAGGAAAAACTTTGAATGAAACATTCATAACGTTGTAGGATATTGTCACAGAAAGTGGAATCTTTGATCTGGTGGGATTCATGCCCTTATTACGGGAACGAATCTACACAAAAAATCCATTTGGTAGACAATTTGTTATCGCTTGGGTATCAGTGTTGGACGCTGTCCCGGATATAGACTTTATTATATTTTTACCGGAAATACTGGATGGGTTGTTCAGAATTCTCGAAGATCCCACTCCGGAAATAAAAAAAATTACAGATACCGTATTAGGTGAATTCTTACGCAGTATCAAATCCAACCCAGCAAGAGTTGACTTTCCTGGAATGATAAACATTCTGATAACGCATGCACAGAGTACTGACGAATTGCTTCAACTAACTGCGATATCATGGATCAAGGAATTTGTGCAGTTATCAGGTCCTCTTATGCTTCCATACATGTCTGGTATATTTACTGCTGTCCTACCCTGTTTAGCTTACGACGGGGATACTCGAAAAAATATTAAAGAGACCGCCACGCAAGTTAATATTAATTTGATGAAACTGATTACTATGGAAAGCACCGATATAATAAACAATACTTCCCATTCTGAAAGCTTAATAAATTCGACGCCTTCTACCAGGGAACAAGGAGGTAAGCTGTACCTAGTAATTGCAACTGAAGAGAATGCAATAATATTTAATATTTCCAGAAAAAATAACAAAAGTTCTTTTTAGATTCCACAAACTGTAGTAGACCTTTGGCTGAAAGCTTAGATCTAGGAAGTGTTGTACAAGTTTTGACAAAACATCTTATGCATACATCGGTTCAAACCAAAGTAGCAGTTTTAAAATGGATTCACCATTTGTTTACGAACATTCCAAACAAAATGTTTCATCATATAGAAGATTTATTTCCTGTTTTAATGCGCACTCTCAGTGATAATTCCGATGACGTGGTGCAGCAGAATCTTGTTGTAATAGCAGAGATTATAAGTTCTAAATCGAATGAAACTACAGTGCACGATACAGGCACAGTGGCACAGAATAAATATTACACTAAATTTATAGTGAACCTGTTGAGATTATTCTCAACGGACAGACATCTACTAGAGGAGCGAGGAACTTTTATCATTAGAGAATTATGTGTGCTTCTAAGTGCTGAAGATATTTATAAGAAATTATCTCAGATTCTATTGGAAGAGCAGAATTTCAGATTTGCCTGTATTATGGTGCAAACACTGAACGTCATTTTATTGACAAGCTCAGAGCTATTTGATCTTCGCAACAAACTCAAAGATTTGGATTCTGAAGTAAGCATTACAATGACAGGTTTATCATAGCTACATAAGAAACATTCCTATTTCTATAAATATAAATATCTTTTTAGGAAAGCTGTGAATTATTCGTTTGTCTTTATGAATCTTGGAGTCACAATCCTGTTGCAACAGTAGCTCTGTGTTTCTTGACACAAAACTACAGTCATGCTTGTGATCTTGTAAGATCATTGTATCCTTTTATATAATAAACTTCTAAATGGTGTATAATAAATTAACAAATTATCTAGCAAAATCCTTAATATTTATCAGTGGAAATATTGAGGTAACTGTAGAGTTTCTCACAGAGATCGACAAACTGGTTCAGCTGATTGAATCACCAATATTTACTTGTGAGCATTTTGTTGTACTAGAAAATAACACAATACATGTAAGTAACTAAATCAATTTACAGATTTGAGGTTGGAGCTTCTCGAAAGGGAAAGGAATGAAGCTCTTGTTCGTGCTCTTTACGGTCTACTTATGATTCTTCCTCAAAGTGAGGCTTTTTCTACGTTACACCGTCGTCTGGCCGCTATTCCTCCAAGTACATCACCACATATAAAATCCTCTGAACTGAAAACTTCTAAGTCTCTGAAACACAAAATAGACTTTAAAAAATTACTTCAACATTTCAATACCGTTCAAGAGAAACATAAAGAACAGAAACATAAACACAGAATAAATTCATTAATCGAACGAGAGGCGAGTCACTTAGAAATCTGACTGAATTACGATAAAATGAATTGTCTCAAAGAACCTAATAAAGACGGACCGCTTCTCTTTATTGAAAAATAACGTCGAGCAAAGTGCAATGTATGCCATGTGTTTTACTTAAATACTATATACAATATACGTTTTATTTATTACGAATTAAAATCATGGCAAAATAACAGGTCTTTGTGAGTAATTTCAAAAATTATAAAACGATTATTTACGTAGAACAGACTGAAATTACGGTAATCGTATGATTTTAAATTAAACTAAAAATAACAATTAATGAGAGCTCTCAGCTCTTAATTCTGTCTTATAATTACGGTAATTTTACGATAGTGTCGATCTGATCCACTAATCGATTGTTCTCGCTAAGAATCAAACTAATCTGTTCATGTAAGTCACAAATATTCTTCCACTTCTTTGTTCCTTCTTCTCCAGGTATGTTAGACTTCTCCATGGTGTTGGACTTTCCTGGGATTCTTTCCAGTGAACGAACAAGTGATTCGTGACGCTCTAAGCTCTCCTGACTGAGTGTATAAGAAAAGGATTCTAAAGCACGTTCGTAGTTGTCAACATCCTTGTCAAGTATTTGAGTTTGCAAATATACAGTCTGTGCCATTTTATACCAATCACCTAGACCTTCTGATCGTTGCGTCATTGCTGGAACACATTCCGTTTCTAGAAGTGATTTTATCCTGCGCCCAGTCTCAGTTACCTAAGGTCAACCGGTAATATTTTGACATTAGTACGTAGTACGTTAATAATTTTATTTTTCTATAAGCTATATACATACTTTGATACGTTCCAGAACATGGAACTGTTCATCATTGTAGGTGAGACTGCGTGTAGCTCTGTCACGTAGTAAATGCTGCCAGCCGTCACGTAGTCTGTCAACGAGGGTAGAAGCTCGGTGACTTGCTTTAGTTATCCAGGGACACCATAAACCTCGAGTGTTACTTTCCCATTCTGCACGTAGACTGGATTCCTTTACATACCTTTTAAAGTATATAATTATTGATAATTAAGTTTATAGTGCGTTTGGTGCAGTTTAGTCCTGATAGAACACAAACCTTTGATGCAGCTGTGTAACTGCTGGTGCCAACTCAACCAAAAGTTCTTTGCTTTTGGAATCTAATTCTTTTCTCCAATGCTTATTATTAATATTAAGTTGCATACCAAATTTCTTTGCTATATGTCTTGCTAAATTTTCACTTCTCTCTATAGCCATAGCAGTATCCTCTACTGCCTTGGTTAGCTCCTTTGAACGTTGACACTTTTCTAATACCCTAGTGAGATCTGCCGTTACAAGACCATTAAATGCTTCCACACTATCTTGACACTGTTTACTGCAATATGCCAATCTATCAATTCTTCTTTTGCAAACATGGCCTACCGAACATGCAACTTTGGCTTGGCTGGCATCATTCTCCACTGATACCAAATTAGAAAATACTGGGAATTTTGGAAGTTCACTTTCGACGGGTAATATTACGTTATTATTTTCCCGAGAAAACAGCATTACTGGTCTATCATGGGTTGTTGTGGGATATCCTTTTCCTGGAGTAGATTCTTCAACTAAACTAGTTAAAGTGATTTCTCCAAGCAAAAGGATCTGAGCATGAGCTGGTACATCACTTTGATCCTGTATATGTGTCTGAAGGGCAACCAGTTTTTCCTCAGGATGCAAGAAAACCTTTATTAAGCTTGCTTTATGTACATTAAATATGTGAATTGGTTTTCTACATAAAGTGTCTGTAACTTCGGTAAAGAAGCGATCAAAGCTCCATATTCTTTGAGGATCAACTTCCAACAATCCAGCAAGTAATGGAGTAACAATCTTCTTTAATCCAATGCTAAGTTGACAGTTTTGAGGTAATTCACGACTCCATTCAATGGGTCCATTTTCTGAAGTTTGTGTTCCTGATATTACACCAGATGCTTTCTTAGTTGTGATATAAAACATTGTTTCTTTATTTCTACGGCCACCAAATGGTCTAAATGGTAAGTTCCCTGTTGCTACATGATACAGAGTTACACCAATTGACCAAAGATCTACGGTAGCTCCAAAAGTCTTTCCTACAGGTTTACGTAGAACAGCACGCTCATACATATCAGGATGTAAATATTCCTCTGTTCCATATAAAGATACAAACTGTTGATCTTCCTGAAGCTCACGTGCTGCTCCGAAATCTGTCAGTTTATAGATAGTACTGCCATCGTCAGCAATAAATTTCATGATATTTCCAGGCTTTAAGTCACGGTGAACTAGATTATTATCCCGTAAATGTTTCATTCCAGCAGACAAATGTTCTAGAACAAGAAGAAACTCACTCTCTGCAAGTCCGTATGTATTTTCAGGATCATCCAAAATATTGAAAAGACTTCCTCCAGTACACAGTTCCATAACAATGACCTTTCCACGTCCATCTTGCTCTTCTTCAATAGCTAATAATTTAACGATGTTCTCATGTTTTACTTTCTTCAAAACTTCAAATTCTCTCATTTGAACATCATGAGGACGCATGTGGCTAAGCTGATTAAATGTTTTAACAGCAACTGGTTCTCCGTTATTTTTATTGACGCCCTGAAATACTGCTCCTGTTGCACCTTTTCCTAGCACACTGGTAGTACACCAAACGTAATTGGCAGAACCACGAAGAAATGACATTTTAAAATCGTTCTAGATATTTATGCTGTTCTTAATTCAGTAAAATGTAAACACCGTGTTAATTACAGACAAAAAGTGCATTTGCTTTTGACAGTAAGATACACTTGCGCCATGTAACCAATCAAACTATGTATATAACATTAAAACAAATTGCATCACAGAATTATATCACAATCTTTACGAAATATGTATAGTTTTTACCTGTACGAATAATATTAGATTCTTTATTCGAAATGACACTTGCATGAATGTCATTTCTTTTCAATCTACTAGACCCCGACATGATATATAACGATGTATACTTCAAGCATAAAGTCACTTTCCCATGTTCAATGGATTAGTCGTACCACCCGTACGATTTAAATGCAAACCAAACTCCTGATTCGTCCAAGGCTCTCATCCATGGAAGACTCTGCCAATTAGGAATTTGGCTGACTGGACATACGAATCGTACAACCAGAGATGAGACCTAGATAAAGTTGGCCGGACAATTTTAATTTATATACTTTTGATAATAAAAAATCGATTGGTGGTCGACTGGTGGTCATTGGTGGCCCACTTATAACATTTGGTGTTCAACCGTTCTTTTGTAATTAATTAATCCAAATTTACCCGTGAAGTTAGCCGAACAATTTATTTTTTCAACGAATTCAGTTTTGAAGGAGCTCATCGATTGGAAATCGTTTGGTGGTCACAAATAGCATAATTAAAACATTTAGTGGTCCTTAGTTTCGCCAAAAAACCTAAAATCAACGAACAAGGAATCGGACATATTGGGGCATAAACTTACGGTCAATAATGCAGATATTTTGGGACCGATTTTCCTTTAAGAGGTCTTAATCTTAATCAGAAAGGTGCGCTAATGATAAATAGTCCAATTTCAACGTTCCGTGGTCATTAATCAACACACTCCGTATGAAAAATTGCACAGATATAGGCTGCGTTTCATTTGGACGCTCACGCGCTGTAAGCGCTCACGCTCAACTCATATCGATACACGTGAGCATTTGAAAAAAAAGATGGAGAATGTGTAAAGTATAGTCGTTCAAAGTTTAATATTATTTGATATACTGTTCCACGAAGATGAAGACGACGACTTGGATGCAAATGACAGCAATAGTTACGAGAAAAACATGGATAAATGTTTGAGTTTTCTTGTGCGACGAATGACAAACAAACACTGCTCACGTTCCTTTAGGTGTTTAAGCGTTTGTGAGCACTCACGCTTTCGCTGCACTACCGCGACGAAAGAAGCGTTTATAAGCGCTTAAGAGCACGAGTTATGACGCCATCAATGACGTCATGACGGCGTTCGTGAGGGCTCACATCGCCAAAAGGAACAGAATAAGCAACGCTTACAAGCGCTTACAGCGCGTGAGCGTCCAAATGAAACGCAGCCACAGTAGGACAGGCACCAAAGGCTGGGATTGGTCGAGAATTGGATACAGGGGGATTGACACGTTTTTGCTGATAAAACTTATAATTTGTGACGTGATTTTTCGAATCACGGTCCCAAGGCAGCTCCGGTTACCGATATAGATAACGTTCTCGATTTCTGGTTCTCTTCGGGTCGCCATCCTGCTCAGAAGCTACGCTCTCGGATTGATTCGTACAGTTACGTCAAGGCTCTCGTAAGATTGTGTCATTGTTTAGTTGAGGTCGAGGTGCTCGAATCTGCCGTGGGGATATAGTCTCGACGTACCGAGTTGCCCGGCAGAGGAGAGTACCCGACGGAGACGTCTCCACGGACCGGCAGAAGCCCGGGTGAGATACCGGCGCCCCGCTGGAGATGGGCAAAGGGCTGTTGAGCGGGCGGAGAAAGTTTTGATATGGTTAAGGGCAGGAGAGGAACCTCCTGCCCGAGTTAAGGATGTGGTGCCCAGCTGTCGCCCGATGCCCTGGGGAAGCGGCCGTGGAGGATCTCCAAAGATTA